GTAGCTTATCTCATAGTTTTGCAGCTGGTTGAATACATTATATTACCTTCCCCCCTCCACTGGCTGAGAAGTAAACCTGAGACCTTATAACGCTAAAAATCGGGTTTGGATACCTACAGTGAGCAGTGTAGAGATAGACAATTGTGTAGCTCAGTGTTTAACAACAAACATGCGTTTTTAACATGCAAATCAGCAAGTCACATGACGGGCACTATAAAATCACGGTGGAACGGTATGTATCAGAACTACATTTTGATACTTTTTAGCGTTACGTAGATAGCGAAATGTAACCAAATATTGATCGCTTTTGCAAAAAGTGTGTTAGGGCCTTTTCCGATACAACATAAGCACACACAGAGATAATAAAAATGTGTTCAGATCAAGGATTTAGAACATTCTAGACGGGAATATCCCTTGTACTTAATCATACTGTAAAATATAAAGATATGGATTAACTTAAGACACCAGGATCATATGTCTGCCTACAACAAGTCGTACTCCAACGATTTTGGCAAAGTGCGGCATCTTGCAGCAGGTGAGAATCTGTAACGAGCAGCGCCCTTAGGGCAAATTGTTGTAGTTTCAATTATACTGCCATTTACACCAAATTTATTTAGTTGAGGATTCACAGTGGCGAATGGAGCTCACAAGTCGCTAACTCGAGGTAATTTACAGTTAGGATAAAGAAACAGATTCCAGGACTAACATTGAACAAAATATAACAACATTTATTAAATTTTTCCACATAGCATACAATAATAGTAAAAAGTTTACTAATCATTATAACTTTTACTGTTACTTTTAATCAGCACCACCCCCCAGTTACACAATAGGCTATATGTGCTCTGCCCACCACGGGTATCAAAACATTGGTTTGGTTTGAATTTTGCCCAAAGCTACACGAGGGCTATCTGCGCTAACCGACCCTAATTTAGCTGTAAAAGACTAGACGGACGGTAGCTAGTCATCACCACCCACCACCAACTCTTGGGTTACTCTTTTACAAACGAATAGTGGGATTGATTTTCACATTATAACGTCCCCACGGCTGAAAGGGCGAGCACGTTTGGTGGTGCGTAGATTCTAACTCGCGACCCTCAGATTGCGAGTCAAACGCCCTAACCACCTGGCCATGCTGAGTAATCCACAGACATGCTGCTATACCACCGGGGGGGGGGGAGGGGGGCGTTTTAAGTTTGATTCGTTCTTCGCAAAGCTTTTCGGGGTCTGAAGATTTTTTGTAACTCAGCTGTTGAAAATCAATCCACCCGAAATCACGATAACATCTCACTATAATCTTTACACGAAAACGACCATTCTAAACTACATTTCATGATCTGATACTATCTGTACAGAAAGATATTTTGGGAAGTTTGTTGAGTTTCAAAATCACACTTCAAATGCGTTTCATCAGCAATGTGCCTTTTGATTTCACATTGATTTGGAACTGGTAAATAATACACAGCGTAATCACAAGTAAATAGACACTGCCTT